ATTCTTTCCTGTATCTAATTCCTTGTATAGCACTCTTGTAAACTCTATATATACCTCCTTATGGAGAAGAATAAATCATCTGAACATATTGAAAACCCATATTCATATTTTAGCAAACAACACATTTACCTAAAGTACGGGTAAAACCTTGTGCTTTCCCTTATTTTAGCTGGTACCGCGGATCTAGGTTTGGCTAGCATCTCTGGTGCTATTGTGTTCAAGGCCTTTAAAACTTTGTTAAAATTTTTACTAGCAGTGAAGTGCGATGGGCCAAATGTATCACGTACTAGAAAATATCTATTATTTTGACCACAATAAGCAAAAAGGTCGCAACCATTTCTTCTACACAAATGAATCTTGTATCTTGTAAGAATGTTTTTTCTCTAATAATACTGCATAACTTTCGAAACACATCAGGATACATTCTATACCTTTCTCGAAAATGCTCTGGATCGTCATTCAATACATGATGTATATAATTATATCCTTTCATAGTAATTGGTCGCGGGGTTAATGGACGTTCAATATTTTCACTAAGCATCATAAGCTCATTCAAAGCATGAGCTATTGCTTGAATCGCCATTAATAAATTCCAAATTGTTTCATAAGTTTCTTCATCCTCCTCAATTTCTTCTACCTCCATTATATATATATATATATATTGATACTGCCTAAATTGAATGATAAAAAAGTGGAAAACGGCAAAACAAAAGAACCAGAGCAACAACCCAAAATGGTGAAGGAATAAGAAGGAAAATACAGCAACCCAAATGCTCCCCACCAAAAACACCCAAAGCCCCACAGTCAAAATCCAAACCCCCAACAAACTCTCCAATCCCAAAAGAAAGCAAACAACTGTGGATAGGAGAGAAGAATAGGGAAGGACATAGAGAAGGGAAATTAGAGTGAGAGACAGGGGAGGAGCTACCGTAAGAAATGGGAGAAGAGAGGAGATGGAAGGAAAAAAATTAAAAATAAAAGGAAGGAAAATTTCAGCAACACAAATGGGGAAGAAATGAGAATGGAGGAAGAGAGGGATGAAGGAGACAGAGAGTGCGAGACGGGATATTAAAATGTTATTTTAAATCTGCACCACAGAAACAATCGGACGATTAAAAACAAAACTCCATAACAAGTTCGCATTTTAATACTCCGTAATGGAGAATCTCCCATGCGATCTATAGCCTATCTCATGTAGAAGGGCATTTCATCCCCGCCCCCTTATTCTTTAGACCAAAAATTGTGCAAAAGTGTGTGCGTTCAAGGGTCCATGGCATATTGAGAGACCTTCATGAGGACAACGTACGCAGCTAGCAAAGCAAAATGAAGTTACTGCCAGTTTTGCTCAATGCTCACGCCATTTGACCCACTCTACTCTAAATCACTTGGATATTTGATCATAAAGTTCAGGCGTAAAGTCCCTCCCCAAAACTGATGCAAAACGTGTTCATATATCACGTAATTGTTTGTTTCTCTCCACACCACCTCCACCCTCCACCCTCCACACCTCAAAAACTTCAAAAACCTCAATAATCACTTGGATATTTGATCATAAAGTTCAGGCGTAAAGTCCCTCCCCAAAACTGATGCAAAACGTGTTCATATATCACGTAATTGTTTGTTTCTCTCCACACCACCTCCACCCTCCACCCTCCACAACTCAAAAACTTCAAAAACCTCAATCACAAAACCATATGCATGTAAGAAAAGCATGAACTTTACCTCAAGAATCAAGACCCTCCTTAATTAACTAATTAATTCTACAATAAGAAATTAACTAAACTAAAAAGCACCATAAACGCCTATATATATATATATATATATATATAAGGTACCCTCCCCCCTGATCTTCCTCTAAGCATCTTAATTAGTTAAAACGATGCTACTTGCCGAACTTCACTTTTTCATTTTACTTGTACTATTGCTATCCCTTCTTGTGATCATAGTTGAAGGCCTAGGGCATTCAAATGCCACTTCTCCATGGCTAAACAAAGTAGCAACGAACTGGCCACGACCACCGCGGTCGGGAGGGTGCCGGCGCCAGCCTTGGATATGTCGTCAGCAAGGAAACCCTCCGACTAGGTGGGGGTGCTGTAAGGACCGTTGCGTCGACGTCAGCTCCGATGTTAACAATTGTGGGCTGTGTCGAATTAGATGTCCATTTAGTTGGCAATGTTGTCGTGGTTTTTGCGTGAACACCAATATTAGCCCTTTTAATTGTGGGAGGTGTGGAAATAGGTGTCCCTTTGGTGTGCTTTGCTTGTATGGCCTGTGTGGCTATGCTCAGCCGACCTTGCCTCCATGGCCTCGTCCTCCATGGCCTCGCCCTCCATTCCCCTTTCCTCCTAAGCGACCATGGCCTCCACGACCTCAGCCACCCCCAATTATGGAGTAGTAGAGTTGTTAACTTATGTCGTACATAATTGTACTCTTATATATGGTTACCTCTTTCTTTGTAGAGTCTTGTGTGCCATGAAATATGGTTCATATTTTCAGGTTCCATGCATGGAAAACCAAAAGAGAAAAGAAAAAGAAAAAGAAAAGTGAATGAAGGGCTCGATCATGTTTTTGTAATGATGCTGCTATGTCATCCATGCAAGTTTATTTGCTTATGTTGCCCTTATTATTCATGTTATATTGATCATCAATTTTGTCTTTTAATCTATCCATCGATGTATTCTTTTTAGATTAATTTTTTTAGTAAATTGAGCTTAGACCCATAAAATTCATTTTAAATCACCTACAACCCAATTTTTTCAAATAATACCCAATGACTAAGATCCAACTAAGCAAGTTACCTAATATAACTTAAAATCTAATTTATTGTATTTTTCGGATTCCAAAACTACCCTTATTTATAAGTTAATGTGTTATGGGTGGTGTAACTAATGACACACGTTGAATTTGGAAAGATCTCCAAATGGTTGTAATGGATGTATGAATTAATTTAGAAACTATTAGAAATTAAATATTAAATTCAACATTAAAACGTTTTGGTTTATTTAATAAAAAAATTATGTTGTTTTCCTTTTATGAATTATACGACTAGTAATCTATTTTATTATAGTTTTATGAATAATACACATTCTAATTATGTTGAAAAATAATTTGATAATCTTTTTATTGTTTGTTTTATGAAAACAATTTTTTTTTTTAATGAACTTATTTTTTCTCTACAAATACTGTACCTATTTTTCTCCTCTAATAATGTACATAGTAAAACAATGAGTGCTGCTATTTCCACCCCCTTGTCCTATTTCCCCACCCACCTTATCTTTAAACTTTTAAAGACAAATTTATCCCTTTGTAAAATGACTTCTAAGGACTTCTATATATAACAACATTAACTTTTGATATATATATATATATAAAATAAACTAATTATTTCCAAAACAAAAACAAAAACCCAACAGCCATCAAAACTCCCTCACCCACCAACTTGTTAGCCATCCCACCCAGCCGGCAACGACCCCCTTCCCCCTTGACATCGACAAATCCTCCTTTCCTGTCTATCTCTCTATCTCTCTGTCTCTTTCTCTGTCTCTGTCTCTCTCTCTGTCTCTCTCTCTCTCTCTCTCTATATGTTATGTGCCGATCCAAACAACTCCCACTTGGTGGCGCTGATTCAGATACTGAGGAAGAAAAGATGCAACTTTTTTTTTTTTTGGGTCAAGAGAAAAGATGCATCTTCTCTCACAAACTTGGGTAAGACCATAAAAGGAAGAGAGGAAAAAGAATCTGAATTGTTTGTTGATACTAATGCAGACCCTACCTTCCTACAGAGGCCAAATTCTAAGCCCAATTTGTTATGACAGGTTTTCCTTTTTTGATATTTCTAGAGATTCTATACTTTGAAGAGGATTTGTAGCCGTGATTTTTATCTAGTTTGTCTTGTGGGAGTGGAAAAGAAATAGAGAGAAAAGGAGGTGTTTCTGGCGAGTAGAGGGGTGGTTGCGCGGGCGGGGTTGGGGTGGCTGACCAGGTTGGGTGGGTGGGGGAGCTTTAGTTGAATTAATTTAATACTAATTTCATAAAGATGAGAATTCGCTGGAATTAATAATTAAAGGGTATTTTAGGAATAATGGTGGTTGGAAAGATAAGATTGTGTTTTTTTTAAATTTACATGATGGGTGGAAAGATAAGGTGGGTGGAAAAATAGGACAGGTGGGTGGAAATAGCAGCACTCAAAACAATTTATCTAGTATAATGAACCTATTTTTTTGCTAAATTTTGAATCTATTTTTTTCTCTAAATAATCTACGTATTACTTGTTTTATGAAAAATAATTTGATAATCTATTTATTTTTTGTTTTATGATTTTTTTTAAATGAACCTATTTTTTTTCTCTAAATAATATACCTATTTTTTTCTCTAATAATGTATACCTAGTAAAACAATTTACCTAGTATAATGAACTTATTTTTTTCTTCTAAATAATGTACCTATTTTTAATTTATAAATTTTTTTACATAAATTTCAATTATACAACGTACCTATTTTCTATAAATTATTGTGTGCCTATTTTTAATTTATGAAAAATATACTGAAATTTCAATTACAAAGTAACTGACCTAGTTTTTTTAAAAACATTTTTGGTAAATAATATACCTATATTTTTATATGTATATTTTTATATTTATATTTTTCATATGTACATTATTGGATATGTAATTTACATATTTTTTTTTTTTCGTTTGCAATTTTAGGGGGCGATATGTTAGAGGGAATGGCAACCAAAAGAAATGGGGTGATTGATAAGCTATTAATAGGGAGTTTTAATTACAATTATGGCAGTTAATGAAATGCTTGGAATAAATCTATATATATAAAGCAAAAGGAAGAGAATGGTGAAACATTCAAAAACCCCGAAAATACCCTTTGTCAAAGAAAAAATTATAAACACACCATTTTAATTAAGAGAGGGTGAAATAGTAAAACACCACTGACTTAATAAAAAGAAAAAAGAAAAGAAAAAAAGAGTCGTGCTGTGCTACCACAAGGGAATGGTGAAGAACGATTTAACCCACGAACAACGGTTGCCTAGAAAAGAAGAAGAACTGAAGAACGTGGAGACAAATTAAAAAACAAATTGAAAAACCAACTCAAATCCGCTGCAGTTCATGTCAGTTTTAACACTTCCCACACGACCCAATATCCTCATGCCATTACACAGCAGTTTCTTTCAGTTTTTTTGCTTCAATGAATCTTCTTTCTGCAGAGCATCAAGATGTCAGGGGTACGAATCTCTCTCTCTCTAATTTTTGGTTCGTGATGGAATTTTTGCTTCAATTTCTGCTCTTTGTTTAATTTTTTTTTTTGCTGCGAAGCATTAATGAAGAAAGCATTTAGGTTTGATCTGTTTTCTATCTCTAATTTTTGATTATATATGCTCTTTCTCCAGAGCACCAATGAAGAGCATTTAGATTTGATGGGTTTGATGTGAATGGTATGAATCTCTCTCTCTCATTTTGGTTATGTTTTTGGTTCGCCCAATGGTTTTCTTTATTTTCCTGTCAATGACTTTAGTTTTTCTGTGCAAGGAAGACCTGTGAAGATACTTGGCAACAGGTTGGTTGACAGTTAAATTCTTCAGTATGTTTTGGATTTTTAATTCTATTTACTCTCGATTTGATTTTGATTTTTAATTATTTTCCCTTCCCCTCAAGTTTGATTGCATTGCATTGATGTCTCTCTTTATCTTTGAAACATGGCCTTGCTGTTTAATTTGATTATGCTAACACTAATTCATTCATCCATTCATGCCCTCCGTCTTCTTCCGCACAATGAATTCCTCCACCTTTGTTGAAGTTTATCTCTTTTCTTTTGTAAGAAGAAGCAGGGGAAGACTTCCCTATCTTAGAGTATCTATAAGATATATTTTTTTTCTTTTTCAATTTTTCGATTTAATTAGTTTAATTCCTCCTTTGTATGCATCTAAGTGTGTTTTATGGGATTTGCTGCGTACTGTGTTGTTGGCAAACAGATATCTATTGCATTTTTAGAAAGGATGAAAGCTGACTTAGAAAAAGATATGGGGTGGGTCATTTGCTGGAGGAGAAAGCAGCGCAGTAGAGACTCAAAACAGAGAGAGGGGTGGAATTAAGGAATAAGAAAAGAAAAGAAAAGAAAAGCACACGTTAGACTTGGAGTTCTATTTCCACATAACTGCTTCTATTTCCTCATAACTGCTGCAGTTCCAAATTTCAACTGCATAATCAAAACTTCTTCACCAATCTTCACAAACGAGTTCTTCATTATATTTTTTATCTTCCTTTTTTTTTTCTCTTCTTTATAGCTGTTTCGGTTTCTTCTCCTATTTTGTTCTAACTTATTGGCCGTGGCTTTGTTTCTTCTCTTTTTAGAGGAATCTTCTTTATAGCTGTTTCGGTTTCTTCTCCTATTTTGTTCTAACTTATTGGCCGTGGCTTTGTTTCTTCTCTTTTTAGAGGTTTGTTTCTTTTTATGCAAGCAGACGTATGCAATTAGACCTTGATGTCTTGATATTGGTTTTAAATAAAGACGTATGCAATTAGTTATTGCATCTGTTTCAAATTTCGTTCAAATGGCTATTTTCTTTTACTATCGTTCCCTAATGTGAATTGTCAACATTGTAGGTTTTCAAGGGGGGTTCAACTTCCCAAAGTGCAGGAGGCTTGCAGAGGAATTGGTGAGCTGCTTTCAACAAAACCGATTATATTAAAATAATTGTTTATTCTATGTTTTCATTACACCACTTAAGTGATATATCTGTTTGGATGCTTAGTCTGGCTTTATTTTGTTTTTTTGTTTTTTGGTTCATGGTTTTATTCCTTCTGAATACAGAATCATATGTTTGGGTTTGGGGTACAAAATCGTGATGTCTAATTAATTCACCAATCCTCTTTGGTACTTCTCTTTCTCATGATTTTGTGCATTTTGTGACATTTGACATTTAATAGAATCAATAAAAAAAAGCTTTTGATTATCTTTTAATTATACATATATTTCTCTGCCTTCTCTCCAGTTTTTAGTTCTTTTGGTTTGGTTTTTTTATAACGCTTTGGTTTGATGCCTTCTTTTTATCCCTCTTTTTGGTTTTCTTTTATTTCTCAGGGGATCCATTTGCTACAGGAATTAAAATAGAGTCGGAGGGAGGAAAAGGGAGGAAAGGTTTTTCTGTTTTATTTTTTCATTATACTTCAAGTTTTCTTTTGCTACTGGCTTCATGAATCATCAAACCCACGATAATTGTTGTGCAGGAGTTATTGTTCTCTCATCGTTGTTGTAGATAGATCGGCTGCACGTGTGGGTCTTCAACTTCTTGAGGTTTATCAGCCTTGAAATTTAGTAATATTCATAAAAAATTCTGTATTGTATTAAATGTTGTTTGTTTCCTAACAACAATGGGATCAAAGAATTTGTTTGACTACAACAGTTGAAATGATAATGTGTTCTTTGCTGAGAAACAAAAGGAAGAAAATGAAACAAAAATAATAAAATTCAAAGAATTTGTTTGACTACAACAGTTGAAATGATAATGTGTTCTTTGCTGAGAAACAAAAGGAAGAAAATGAAACAAAAATAGTAAAAGAAAAAAAAAAGGAGAAATTTTTTTAACACTGTAAATTTGGTATATTTCCAATCCAGAGGTTTAACCACCAATACAACACATAGGCTTCAAGACCACTTGCGACACCCGTTCCTCTCTAAATGATCTTTCACTTTTTCATTTTCAAAAGTTTTCCTTTATCGCCCGTATTTTTATAGACATCCATCTTAGCAGTTTCTTTTTTTCTTTTATAGCATGTGAACTGTTAAGATGGACGTCTAGAAAATAGCGAATAATAGCCCATACTCGCTAACTAATGCTAACTATGTTTACACTGCGCTATTATTCACTATTACCCACGGCTGCGCAAATTGGCCAAATAATAGCGCAATGTGGCGCAGTGTGGCCAAATAATCGATTGCGCTACACTGCGCTATTATTTGGCCAATCGACGCATGTGAACTGTTAGAATATGGGCCACACTGCGCTATTATTTGGCCAATCTGCGCTAACTGACGAGTGTGCGACGCAGTGTGACGAGTATGGGCCACACTGCGTCGACCACAAACTAATACTCGTCACTTGCGCCACACTGCGCTATTATCGAGCCAGTAAACTTGCTAATAATAGCCCGAGTGACTAAGCCACATACTCGGCCATATGCTTATAGCCGAGTAAAATAATAGCCTGTATTGTATTAAATGTTGTTTGTTTCCTAACAACAATGGGATCAAAGAATTTGTTTGACTACAACAGTTGAAATGATAATGTGTTCTTTGCTGAGAAACAAAAGGAAGAAAATGAAACAAAAATAGTAAAAGAAAAAAAAAAGGAGAAATTTTTTTAACACTGTAAATTTGCTATATTTCCAATCCAGAGGTTTAACCACCAATACAACACATAGGCTTCAAGACCACTTGCGCCACCCGTTCCTCTCTAAATGATCTTTCACTTTTTCATTTTCAAAAGTTTCCTTTATCGCCCGTATTTTTATAGACATCCATCTTAGCAGTTTCTTTTTTTCTTTTATAGCATGTGAACTGTTAAGATGGACGTCTAGAAAATAGCGAATAATAGCCCATACTCGCTAACTAATGCTAACTATGTTTACACTGCGCTATTATTCACTATTACCCACGGCTGCGCAAATTGGCCAAATAATAGCGCAATGTGGCGCAGTGTGGCCAAATAATCGATTGCGCTACACTGCGCTATTATTTGGCCAATCGACGCATGTGAACTGTTAGAATATGGGCCACACTACGCTATTATTTGGCCAATCTGCGCTAACTGACGAGTGTGCGACGCAGTGTGATGAGTATGGGCCACACTGCGTCGACCACAAACTAATACTCGTCACTTGCGCCACACTGCGCTATTATCGAGCCAGTAAACTTGCTAATAATAGCCCGAGTGACTAAGCCACATACTCGGCCATATGCTTATAGCCGAGTAAAATAATAGCGCAGTGTAAACTGTCATATGCTCATATCTAAGAAAAGAAACTGCTAGCGCAGTATGCGCCACACTGCGCTATTATTTGGCCACATGCTAACTGACGAGTATCGCCCACTATTCTCCATCCCGATTGCCCATATTTTTCTAGACATCCATCTTAACAGTTCACATGCTATGAAAGAAAAAAAGAAACTGCTAAGACGGATGTCTAGAAAAATACGGGCGATAAAGGAAAATTTTTAAGAAGACGATTTATCACATGTGCGCGATTAAAATTTGAAACTGTTGAAATGGACATCTATATAAATACAATTGCGAAAAAATATTTACCAAACTTTGTAAGTCGCGCGTAGCGCGTGTGATTAAAAAAAAGCCTCTCACACATGTGGAAGCGTGTGCAGAGAGGCTAGCCTAATGAATTTTAGTAGCTAGGGGGATTCTTATTCAATTAATTACCCACATATTAATATTATCCAAAGCAAATCCAACATTAATAAGGAAATCTCAAATAATTTAAGTAAAATAATATTTTCAAGTGGATGAAGGGTGTTAGAATAGGAGGTGAAACAAACGTTCCAAGTATCTTAAAAACTGCACACGTGTATGAGATGGTGTGTATCTTAACAATGATTAAAGACTAGCCTCTCTGCACACGCTTCCACGTGTGCGAGAGGCTTTTTTTTAATCACACGCGCTACTAAAATTTTAGTAGCGCGTGCGCGGAAGTTTCTGTTTGGTGCTACTAAAATTTTCTTGATGCCCGTCTCAATGTATTTTTTTCTCTCTTCTAAGATGAACGTCTAGAAAAATACGGGCGATAAAGGAAAACTTTTAAGACGACGATTTATCACACGCGCACGATTAAAATATGATACTGTTGAAACGGACATCTATATAAATACAATTGCAAAAAAATATTTATGAAACTTTGTAAGTCGCGCGTAGCGCGCGTGATTAAAAAAAGCCTCTCGCACGCGCGGAAGCGCGTGCAGGGAGGCTAGTTATAAATAAAATATGAAGTCTAATGGCAACGATGTAAAAACATAGGAATACTATGACCTCTTATATCCTATTGGTCATTTAAGTTTGAAATTGGCTTTTACACATAGATTTATAGAATGATGGGTATAAGTCTAGGAAATAGAAATTGTAGGGACCTATATTGGACAAGCCCTAATTTTTTTTAGGTCAAACTGGAATAACATAACCAGGGCAAAAAGCCAAAGTTACAAAGCCAGAGTCCAAAGCTAACGGACAACCACAACTAGAAAACAAAGAACAAATACAAGGATAAGAGGAAATACGAGTAGAAGACGACCCAACCAACCGGTGGTGGTATAGTCAAATTCCTCACTAGTCCCAAACTAAACATGGGGTGGACAAGGTAACCCCCTAACCAAATCAACTCGTCGTCATTGCTTTTGTCATTGCCGCCATCAAGAAACCAAAGGAGAGAGGAGCCATGAAGAGGGATCTGCAGAGAATGGAGTTGGGGAAGCAAGCCACCAATATGCATCATACTCAAGTGATCCATAAATTGGTCAACATAGACCATAAAGCTACAAAGCCCATAAATACAAATCTGACACTCAGATCTGAGCATGGGATGTAGGGGGAGATTAGCAGCAAAAACAAGCCAAGACATTAACAAGTCAATCATAGGGAAAGAGGAAGAGGAGAACTTGAAGGAGATGTTATGGATAGATGAGGGCGTTTGGAGACCAAAAAAGTCAGAGATGAGGGAGATCAGAGGGATGGGAAGGAGTGAGATAAGAGATTCAGAAAAACAAGGAGGAAATACAAACAACAAGAAAAGTAACATAAACTCTCACAAAGAAGAGAGAGAGAGAGATGGAGGAAGTGGGAAGGATGAGAGGAGAGGGGAGGAGGAACAAAGGCCTCCTCCCTAGTGCGACATTGAAAGTGTTTCCAAGGGAGGGGGACTAGGGTTCAAGAGCAGAGAGAATTAATTATTTTTAGACTAATTAATCACCTTGTTTGTGTGGATGATGAATGCTCAAATTGGAGAAATTATAGAATAGTATTGTAGAGGAAATGTAGTCTTTGCTAATTGCAAGTCAAGTTTATGATCAGTTCATAATTGTATATCATTTTGTACCATTCTAGCTTATGATTCGGCTATGTTTTTGAGTTAAACTTGTGGTTTTAATCTATTTTGTGTTTTTCATTCAGTTCATTGAGCTCTAGGTACCACTTGAGGCATTTGAAGTAAAATGGTGCAAAAACGTGCAGTCTGAGTTAGCAACTCATTTCGGCCTTAACTCCTTCATCCAAGCTTGGATTGGGCCAAATTACATGTGGTTGGAAAGAAGACATTCTGAACTTCAAGATGGACAGCTCAAAGTCATTCATTGCATAAAGGAAGTCCAATCTGTGAGCCCATCAAAATACATGTCATGCTGACATGAGGATGAGCTGATTGTAGCTTGGTCACGATGAGCTAGGCATGAGCTATTGTTTCTGGTTGGAAGCTTGGTCATGATGAGCTATGCATGAGGTGTTGATTCTGGTGGGATTTGTTGGTGAAGTGCAGCAGCCAAGAAACTGATTTTCAATTGCAAGTGTTGTAGGCATTAGCCATATTCAATTCTGATTTCTCACTTCCCTCTCCCTATAAATATCACTTCCATTCCACATTCAAGGTGTGAAAAGCCAGGGATTCACAACCCCACAATTCAGCCATCCTTCACTCCATCCTTCCTCAAACACTTCCATCATCTTCCTCAAACACTTCCATCATTTTCCCCAAACACATTCAGAAATCATCCTCAAACACTCTCAAACACTCCAACAATCAATCCAAAGCTCTAAATAGCCCCAAGTCACCAAAATTGTCCCAGAAATCCTTCCTTCCATTTGCCTATGAAATTCCTCTTTCTCAGCCATCACCACTCACTCAAACTCATCCCAAATCACCTCTATATCCTTCATACATCCTTCTAGACGTGAGCAAGCTCTTGGAGAAGCATTAGACGTGGAGAAGCCCTTGAAGAAGCATTGGACGCCACAAGAACTTCAGAAATGGGTTTGTCTACTCTTGTTGCATTCATTGTGTTTTCTCATTTCTGTTCAAGTCTCTTTTCCATTATGAGTAACTAAATCCATAACTAGGGCTTCGATGTAACCTAACTTGAATTTTCTGGGTTTATAAGTTTGAAGTTTCACGTTTGATTCAAGATTCATGTTCTTATTCATTTTGCCTACATGCCTATATGCTAATCGGAATGCCTAGCTACCATTTTGATTTGTGTATCTTGGTTTGAATTAAGAGTAGACACCATTCTTTAATTCAAATGGAACTATGAATAGGAAGAGTGTGTATAGAATTCGACAATCTGGATTAGATACATACTTGGTTGTTTAAAATGTTCTTCTATGCTTAATGGATTCCTAATGCTTAATTTTAGGTTAGACAA